CCATCTGTGCCTGGGATGCCTTGATGATCAGAAATTGGGGTGCTACCATGAGATGCCTGAGCAGACCTCCCTCCAAGTGGGGGGGCTCTTCCCCCCTTCTCCCTCCCACCTCTGGCCGCAGAGTCCAAAAGGAAACCTCTGCCTTGACCCTGCCCCCCTGAGGTCTTGCAAGGTGGGAGGTGGACTTGAGCCAAGCCGGTCAGACCTGGGGACCCCTTTCCTTCTGGATGGCGAGGCTGAGAGGCTGGCTGCTGGTGGCCATGCCCCCGCCTGCAGGAGGAAAAATGAGGCACCACTGAGGAGGAGGCAGAGCTCCATCCCTGGGCAGAGTCCTGGTATCAGCTGTTTCCAGCAGCACCTGGACCTTTTCTGCTTATCTAGGCCGATAAATCACCCATAAATCCCTACCTTTCTTTCTTCTTTCTTTTTTTTTTTAATGATTCTTCAGGTTGGGTGTGTCACTTACTGGCAACCATAAGATTTAAAATTAAAACAGTGACCCATCCGCTCAGACCTGCCCGCCACATTGCTCCCAGTCTGCCTTCAAAACCCACCTTCACCGGCACTTCGAGGCTGCAGAAAAGCATCGTTAACCTGGATTCTGAATTTTTTCATTTGCAGCTGCGCTCCCTCCCACACGCAGGCTCCTCTCCCCAGCCTGCAGGAAGTGTGTCGATGTTGTGGTTCTGCCCCTTGGCCTCCGGTCCTTTCAGCGAAAGCTCATTTTGCTGGGTCCCTTGTGATCCTTTAGCAGCAAACACCCCGCTAATAAAGTTCCAGACCACTCACCCCTCATTCCTAAGAGAGCAGTTTTCCACCTGCACTGTTTTCTCAAAAAAGTGAGGGTCCCTTCTGTGACATGTGTCATGCAGGACTAGGAAGGGACAAGAAAGGTGACCATGAGGCCAGGTGTGGAAAATCAGCAGCAGGAGTAAAGGTGGGACTGACAGTGATGCTGCAGCTCCAAGTTCACCATCCGCCCAGGGACTAGACTCCCTCCACTACCTTGGTCGTGAGCGTCAAGGTTCCTGTGAGGATTCTGAGGTCACCATAAGGCAGGAGCAGAAGTAGCCCATACAAACTGGACCAAAAAGTCTAATATCCTAGTTGCAGTTAAATACATCTTCTCAGAAACTCTGTCTGGCTCAGAGATAAAATACACCACCATCTTTTTCCTGCAAGACAGTGTGGCTAACAAAAAAGTTTGCTTCCAGAGAGTAAAAGGCAGTGACTGCTCCCTAGGATGGGTCAGGCAGGCACAGACATGCCTTCATTGCCCTTTGTGCCCTCCTATCTGGAACAGCTATGGCCTTGTCCCCTCTACACCCTGGGGCAGACCTCCCAGCCCCGGGCTCCCGGCTCAGCCCCTCTGCCCTCACGCAGGCCTCCGTTGGTTGGCTACTACTGTTACTGCATCAGATCCAGACCTGGGTTCTCTGTTCTCCTTCACTGGTTCTCCACCGTCTATAATCGGGGCTCCCCCACACCTGCATTCTAATGTTAAGGAAAGATCCTGGGTCCCACTCTCCAGAATCGTGGGTCCCCTGGCTCTGAAAATGCCCCCACCCCACCCCCTCACTGACCCGCTTCCTTCTAGCCCCTCCTCTCTCATCTACGTGGGGCTCCCGGCAATCTTCCAGCTCCTGCCCCAGTCAGATGACAGTTCCAGGGGGAGGAAGGGCACGGGGTACTCCACCCAGGGACAAGAGGGTAGAGGACAGCAGCGGAGACCTTCACCCCTCTCCCCGCTCCTGCCCGGGGCTTCTGGCTCCATAAACTCCGGGAATGCAGGTGGCATCCTGGGTCTACGGTCAGCCTCAAACCAAGACCAAACCAACTCAGAAACACAGTCCACGATCGGGCCAAGATGGTGCGAGGTACAAATCCCAGGGAGGAGGCTCCCAGTCAGAGAAATGGTTCTGTCAGGGTCTCCCCTCCCCGTTTTGATGGGGAGGGCAGGGCGGGGTGGGGAATGGGAGAAGAGCTGCCACTCGGAAGTGGGCGGAGGGGCCCGTGACGACGTGGCCTCCCTTGGCCCCCTCTCTCTGGCTTCTCTGAAAGTGGAGCAACTCAGCCTTAAGGCCAAAGGCCTTGCTCTCTTGCCAGAAGCCCAAGGCTGTCAGAAGGGTAACTGTCCATGGGGGATAGGGTGGGAAGGGGCACTGAGCCCAGCTCCCCCAGTCCTGCTGGAAGCTTCCTTGGTCAAGCAGGACTGGGTGTGGGGTTTCACCTTCCCAAAGCAGACTGAGCTGAAAGAGGGCGGGAAAGGTCAGCACCAAAGGCGGGCCTCACAGCTTCATTCCTAGTATTGTCTAAAGCCGGGGCAGTGGGGTGTGGGGGTGGGGGGAGGCCCCACAGGTGGGCAGCTCCCTGCAGGCACTTTCAGCGCATGGAGTCGCGTGTCGCCTGTTCCCAGCCTCTGTTGGCGGGGCTGCAGCCCCAGCTCCATCTCAACTGGTGCCTTTCAACTCCTTGCACGTCTCCCATCTCAACGTGGACAGGGCCGTATGGTCCCTTACCCCTGGCTGAAGGATACCCTCTCACAGTGCCTGGAGCAGGCTGGGGTCTCCACTAACGCAGGGGCACCGTCCCCAGACAGGTGTGTCACACTGCATCTGTCTTACCGCTTTCTGGGCAGAGTTTGGCTTCCTGAGACCCCACCCTGGGCCCGGGGGTAGGGAAGCAAGACCAGCAGCCAGGCAGGGGAGTGGGTGGGGATGTGGGGGCTGAGCAGATCACCCTGGTCCAGGCTCAGGGGGCTCTCACTTGCGAGGAAGGAAGGCCCTGCCAGCTCCTAGGGAAAGGTGAGCCCCCAGGAAACACAGGATTGGGCTGCTCCTGCCTCTGTCTACCTGGATGACATCCCATTTGTGCCTTGGCCCCTGCCTGCCCTTCCCCACTCATCCCTAGTCCTCCTTGGGACTCTACTGGGACATCAGCTCCTGGGAGACCTTTTCCGTCCCCATTGCTGACATAGCAGACACCCAGTGTCCTGTGTCCTGTGCCCAGTGTCCCATGGGGCAGGAACACAGCACACCTGAATGTGCAGGAGTCACCTGGGCAGGGCTGGTGGCCTGGAGTCCATCCCAACAAGCACCAGGGCGCTGGCTCTCAATCCAGGGCTCCCCAGCCACACCCTCGAGACCCGGCCCCTCACTCTGGAGTTGTTCCTGGCTGGATCTCAACTCTGCCTCCCTACAAACCCCCTCAGGGAACCTGTGTCATAATCACTTCTTGTTCTTCTTAACAGTTTTATTGAGGTATTACTGACATGCAATCAACTATGTGCATGAAATGTACGATGTGAAAGATTATGATATGTGTAAACACCCATGAAACCACTGCCACAAGCAACGGAGTGAACAGACCCATCAACCCCAAGTTCCTCCAGCCTCTTGTGACTTCTCCCTTCTGCCCCTCCCCCAGCTCTAGGCAACTGATTTTACTATATTAAAGACACATTTGCATTTTCTAGACTTTTGCATACATAACATAATCACACAGCAGGTATTCTTCCTTACCTGGCTTCTTTCACTCAGCATTATTATTTTGAGATTCATCCCGGTGTGGCAGGTATCAATCATTTAGTCCTTTTTATTACTGAATAGTATTCCATTGTATAATATCACCATTGGTTTATTTAGCTACTAGAAATAAAGATGCTATGATCATTCATGTACAAGTCTTCACATATGGATATGAGTTTTGTATCTGTTTGGTAAACACTTGAGAGTAGGAGTAAAACAATGGCAGGCAGGATCGTGTGGTAACTTAACTTAACTTAGTAAGAAACTGTCCAACAATTTTCCAAAGTTTACTTGAAAAGTTTACTTTCCAAAGTCCAGTTTACATTCCCATCACCAACGAACAAGAGTTCCAGTTGCCCACATCCTCAGTAACGCCTACCACGGTCAGACTCAGTCATTCAGACATTCTGATAGATGGGCGGTGTTCTCTCCTTGTGATTCTAATTTGCATTTCTTTCATGACTAATGATGTCAAACATCTTTCATGTGATTATTTGCTATCTGTAGATATTCTTTGGCGAGATGTCCATTCAGTCTTTTGCTGATGTTTTTTCATGGGGTCATTTGTCTTCTAAGGACTATATTTGAGAGTTCTTTGTAGACTCTAGATACAAGTCCTTCCTCCGGGATGTGCTTTGCAAATAGTTTCTCCCAGCTGATGACTTGTCATTATTCTTTCCCAAATGTCTTTGAAAGAGCAGACATTCTTAAGTTTGTTCAAGTCCAAATAATTGATTTTGTTTACTTTTATGAATCACACTTTTAGTGTTGTATCTAAGAAATGTTCATTTCCATTGCGGCACCTGGCACTCACCTGTATGCCCATGATGCTCAATCAATGCTTGTGAAAGGCAGAACCAGGGAGCAGAGTTGGGGAGAGAGGCAGGCAAGCTGAAGGGGCTTTGGCCCTAAATGTGCAAAGACCAGAGATTCTGGGAGACACAGCTCCAGAAATCTTGCTAAGGAAGTGCGGTGGAAGTTTCCCAGAAGGAGGTGGGGGAGGTTGCAGGAGCAGGGGGGCAGGCTGGGGAAGGGAGGGGGCAACTTTGGGCTCAGATGCCATTGTCTCCAGCCATTCAGTGAAAAGTGCTATTTACCTTCTTCCTTTTCTCTCCTTTCCTCCCTCCCTCCCTCTCTTCCTCCCTTCCTTCCTTCCTTCTTTCCCTGACTCTGCCTCCTCTTTATTTCTTTCTCCCTTGTTTGTGAGCTAGCCTTATATCTCCTCTGAGAACTGTTTGCTCATTTCCTTTCCCTCGTTTCTTTCCCGAGCTCTTCCTGTTTGTTTTCAACTAGGTGAGCGCTGATGTTGTGAAACATCAGCCTTTTCTATCCTGTTGCTGCAAATCTTCCTCGGAATCATAATTTTCTTTTTTCAGCTTCATTGAGGTATAATTGACAATATAAAATTGCAAGGCATTTAAAATGTACATCTTGGGGATTTGACATAGGTCCACATTGCAAAAGCATTCCCTCATCTAGTTAATTAACACATCCAGCACCTCAAGGTTAGCTAGTTATTAAGTTATTTCGTGAGAACATTTAATTTCTACTCTCTACGCAAATTACAACTATACAGTATGGTGTTATCAGTTCCAGTCATCAAGTTTTACATCAGATCCTCAGACCTTATTCATCTTACAGCTGAAAGTTTGTATCCTTTTACCAATCTTTCCCTATTTCTCCCACCTCCAGTCCCTGGCAACCACTCTTCTGTTATCTGTTTCTAGAGTTTGACTTTTTTTTTAGATTCCACATATAAGTGATACCACACAGTATTGATCTTTCACTGTCTGGCTTAGCATAATGCCCTCAAGGTCAATCCATGTTGTTGAAAATGGCAAGACTTCCTTCTTCCTCATGGCTGAATGATATTTGTGTGTGCGTGTATATCTTCTTTATCCATTCATCCATTGATGGTTATAAAATAAATTATCACATATTGAGATATAGGGGAGTCATTCTGGTTTATATATAAGTTAACTTGAATTTTATGCTAACTAAAAACAGCCTATTTGTGGCCTATCAAATAAACATTGTACATCTGTTTAATTATAAAAGGAAAGGGCACATTAATCACAAGTAAAGAATATCCATGTTAAAAATAAAGATTAAATGACTCTTTTCTCAGGACACCAGTGCTGGAACTCCTTTGATGATAAGACTCACTTCCCAGGTGCCAAGGTCATACATGTTGTGTACGTCTGTTTTTTGTTTTTTGTTTTTTGAAAACTTGAAGAAATGTAACCCTGGCTTGTTTAATGTCCTTTGTTCTGACAAGATCTAAAACTCTCCAGATCAGTTTCTCAGAGTAATCTGAGTTTGTCCTCAATTTGGCTCAGATAAAACTCTTTTCTATTCTTATTATTGACTGTTTATTGATTTTCTTCAACAATGGACACTTAGGTTGTTTCCATATATTAGCTATTGTGAATTATCTTGCAGTGTATATGGGAGTGCAAATGTCTCTTTAAAACCCTTTTTTTTCATGTCCTTTGGATATGTACCTAGAAGTGGATTGCTGTATCATATGGCAGTTCTATTTTTAATTTTTTTAAAGATTCTCTGTACTATTTTCCATAATGACTGCACCAATTAACACTCCCACCAAAAGTGCACAAGGGTTCCCTTTTCTCAACATTCTTACCAACAATTGTTATCTTTTCTCTCTCTGATTTTAGCCATCCTAACAGGTTGTGAGGTGGTATCTCATTGTGGTTTTGATTTGCATTTCCCAGATGATTAGTGATGTTGAGTACCTTTTAAAGTACCTGTTGACAATTGGGCTGTTTTCTTTGAGAAAATGTCTATTCAGTTCCTCTGACCATTTGTAAATCAGAATGCTCAGGGTATTTTGCTATTGAGTTGTTTGAGCTCTTTATATATTTTGAATATTAACCCCTTATCACATATAAAATTTGCAAATATTTCAAATTCCATTGATTGCCATTTC